ATCACCAGTCAGACATTTTGATTGATGCAAACTCGCATTGGTCGGAAATTATCAGTGATGCAAACAACCAGTGGCCAGATATTTTCAGTGATACAAAGTAGTACCATAGGTCAGACATTACCAGTGACGCTAAGTAGTATCATTGGTCAGACATTTTCAATGATATAACGCCGCATCGGTCTGATATTTTAAGTGATATTACCCCGCATTGGTCAGACGTTTTCAGTGATGCAAGCCACCATCCGTCAGATATTTTCAGTGATACAAAGTAGCACGATTGGTCAGAAATTCTCAGTGATGCAAAGTAATACCACCTGTCAGACATTCTCTGTGGTGCAAAGTAGTACAAACGATCAGACATTTTCAGTGATGCAAGGTGGTACCGCCAGTCAGACAATCGCCAGTCAGACATTCCCTGTGATGCAAAGTAGTACCACCGATCAGACGTTTTCAGAGATGCAAAGAAGTACCGCCGGTCAAACATTTTCAGTGATGCAAACTAGCATTGGTCGGAAATTATGAGCGATGCAATCCACCAGCGGTCAGACATTCTGCATGATGCAGAGTGGTACAACCGATCAGACGTTTTCAGTGATGCAAGCCACCATCCGTCAGATATTTTCAGTGATACAAAGTATCACGATAGGTCAGACATTCCCAGTGATGCAAAGTAATACCACCGGTCAGACGTTATCAGTGATGCAAAGTAGTGCTACCGCTCAGGCATTTTCAGTGGTGGATAGTAGTACCACCGGTCGGACATTTTCAGTGATGCAAACTAGCATTGGTCAGAAATTTTCAGGGATGCAAACTTGCACTGCTCAGATATTTCAGTGATACAAGCTTGCATTGCACAAACATTTCAGTGATGCAAACAGCCAACGGTCAGACATTTTCAATAATACAAAGTAGTATCATAGGTCGGACATTATGAGTGACGCAAATAAGAATCATCGGACAGACATTTTCAGATATAACCCTGCACGCCAAGTAGTATCATTGGTCAGACATTTTCAGTGATATAACCCCGCATCGGTCAGATATTTTAAATGATATTACCCCGCATTGGTCAGACGTTTTCAGTGATGCAAGCCACCATCCGTCAGATATTTTGATTGATACAAAGTAGCACGATAGGTCAGACATTCTCAGTGATGCAAAGTAATACCACCTGTCCGACATTCTCTGTGATGCAAAGTAGTACAAACGATCTGAAATTTTCAGCGATGCAAGGTAGTACCGCCTGGCTGACATTTCCAGTGATGCAAAGTAGCACGACCGGTCAGACATTTTCATTGATGCAAAGTAATACCACCTGTCCGACATTCTCTGTGATGCAAAGTAGTACAAACGATCTGAAATTTTCAGCGATGCAAGGTAGTACCGCCTGGCTGACATTTCCAGTGATGCAAAGTAGCACGACCGGTCAGACATTTTCATTGATGCAAACTCGCATTGGTCGGAAATTATCAGTGATGCAATCCACCAGCGGTCAGATATTATCAGTGATACAAAGTAGTACCATACGTCAGACATTACGAGTGACGCCAAGTAGTATCATTGGTCTGACATTTTCAGTGATATAACCCTGCGTCGGTCAGAAATTTTAAGTGATGCAAAGTAGTGCCATCGGTCAGATATTTTCAGTGACACAAAGTAATACAATCCGTCTGACATTTCCAGTGATGCAAAGTAGCAGCAACAGTGAGACGTTTTCAGAGGGGCAAAGTAGCAGCAACGGTCAGGCGTTTTCAGAGGTGCAAAGTAGTATCACCAGTCAGACAATTTCATTGATGAAAACTCGCATTGGTCGGAAATCATCAGCGATGCAATCCACCAGCGGTCAGATATTATCAGCGATACAAAGTAGTAGCATAGGTCAGACATTACCAGAGGCGCCAACTAGTATCATTGGTCTGACATTTTCAGTGATATAACCCCGCATCGGTCAGATATTTTAAATGATATTACCCCGCATTGGACAGACGTTTTCAGTGATGCAATCCACCATCCGTCACATATTTTCAGTGATACAAGGTAGCACGATAGGTCAGACATTCTCTATGATGCAAAGTGGTACAACCGATCAGACATTTTCAGCGATGCAAGGTAGTACCGCCTTGCTGACATTTTCAGTGATGCACAGTTGTACCACAGCTCAGACATTCTCAGTGATGCAAAGTAGTACAACCGTTCAGGCATTTTCAGTGATCCAAGGTAGTAACGCCAGTCAGACATTTTCAGTGATGCAATGTAGTACCAACGGTCAGACATTTTCAGTGATGCAAAGTAATACAATCCGTCAGACATTTCCAGTGATGCAAAGTAGCAGCAACGGTCAGACGTTTCCTTTTCAGAGGGGCAAAGTAGCAGCAACGGTCAGGCGTTTACAGAGGTGCAAAGTTGTATCACCAGTCAGACATTTTCATTGATGCAAACTCGCGTTGGTCGGAAATTATCAGCGATGCAATCCACCAGCGGTCAGATATTATCAGTGATACAAAGTAGTACCATAGGTCAGACATTACCAGTGACGCCAAGTATTATCATTGGACAGACATTTTCAGTGATATAACCACGCATCGGTCAGATATATATAGTGATATTACCCCGCATTGGTCAGATGGTTTCAGTGATGCAAACCACCATCCGTCAGATATTTTCAGTGATACAAAGTAGCACGATAGGTCAGACATTCTCCATGATGCAAAGTAGTACCACCGTTCAGGCATTTTCAGTGATGCAAGGTAGTAACGCCAGTCAGACATTTTCAGTGATGCAAAGTAGTATCACCAGTCAGACATTTTCATTGATGCAAACTCGCATTGGTCGGAAATTATCAGTGATGTAATCCACCAGCGGTCAGATATTATCAGTGATACAAAGTAGTACCATAGGTCAGACATTACCAGTGACGCCAAGTAGTATCATTAGTCAGACATTTTCAGTGATATAACCCCGCATCGGTCAGATATTTTAAGTGATATTACCCCGCATTGGTCAGACGTTTTCAGTGATGCAAGCCACCATCCGTCAGATATTTTCAGTGATACAAAGTAGCACGATAGGTCAGACATTCTCAGTGATGCAAAGTAATACCACCTGTCAGACAATCACTGTGATGCAAAGTAGTACAAACAATCACACATTTTCAGTGATGCAAGGTGGTACCGCCAGTCAGACATTTTCAGTGATGCAAAGTAGCAGCAACGGTCAGACGTTTTCAGAGGGGCAAAGTAGCAGCAACGGTCAGGCGTTTTCAGAGGTGCAAAGTAGTATCACCAGTCAGACATTTTCATTGATGCAAACTCGCATTGGTCGGAAATTATCAGCGATGCAATCCATCAGCGGTCAGATATTATCAGTGATACAAAGTAGTAGCATAGGTCAGACATTACCAGGGGCGCCAAGTAGTATCATTGGTCTGACATTTTCAGGGATATAACCCCGCATCGGTCAGATATTTTAAGTGACATTACCCCGCATTGGTCAGACGTTTTAAGTGATGCAAGCCACCATCCGTCAGATATTTTCAGTGATACAAAGTAGCACGATAGGT